CCCTGGTAACTGTTAATCATTTTTCGCGGGCCGCCGCTTAAGACAGCCATCGATTTTTGACGGTATTCGCGGCATAATAAGAGAAAAACTAAGTCGTAAGTTTCATCCCTTAGTTTCAATTAGCGGAGCCAGAAATGATTGTTTCAATTCGATGCTTAAGAACCTCGCGGTTCTCTGTGAATACTGCTTTATCTTAAGGGTTTAATTATTTAGCGGAGAAAACGTTGTTGGTGCAGATTAGAAGATGAGAACTGCATCGATACCAAACTGGTGAATTGAAAAACTACGCGCCAAGTACTTTTTTTCTGCTTCTATTGATTTTTTCGTTGATAAAGAATTATTTCGCAATCAATATTTAAACCTAGACTCCCTCTCCTTATGTCAATCTACTTATACACTATCGCTAGTCATTCACCGCTCTTGACTTGGCTTTCTCTCATTTAATTTTATTTACCAAAAAAATATGCTGTCCAGTAAGAACTATACAATTCCGCGATTCGGCACATTTACAAAAAAAAGACCTTTTTTCATTTTTTGGCAAATTTCTGTTATTTTTTAAAAACCAAAAAGTGGGTGAGAGACATATAGATATATTTTGAAGATCGATGTGCTCAAGCTGAGTGACATAAGACGCTGAACAACCAAACGATTGCCATTTTTACTAGTGTTGTGCCGCGGGAGTTAGAATTCATGATAGGATAGTTTACATTATTTTCATCGTATTTTTCGAGTATTTGATAATACTTTTAAAAACCCTTGAAGGGAGTATAAGGACTAGTTCTTTGTAAAGAGAATGCATCATTTGATGTAGGCACGAGAACTATATCTATTTATAATTCGAACTTTCACTGCGCAATCTAGTAAAAATGGGGATCAACTAGCGTTAACATTTTGGCGCCAAGTATTTTGGTCCCGACTCTTTTTTTTTCACTTTTTTGTATTTGATTTATACAAGCTTGGTATTCTCTTTTATTTGCAACATTCTTTTAAACGAGTGAAGTTAACGAAATTGTGCAAAACATAATGAATTAAAAGATGGACTTGGCCATTCTTCTCAAAATTTTTTTTTCGGGTTTTGTGCATCAAATTAACGGTCATTTACTGCATATTTTGCCCTTGTGATATCCAAAAATTACAAAAATTCACACATAATCATATGGTAATTTGAAATTGCCACTTGGCAATTCCGAATTCACCCCAAATGACTCGGACCACTGAAAGTCCAAGAAAAATAGTAAAAGTGGAAGAAAAAAATGAGCGAAAGTTCGATCATGTGGCGAAACATCACACCTCGAATTTTCACCATCACCCACCCCCGCTCCAATCAGCCAACACCCAAATTCAAAGAGATAAAAACGAATGAACAATAACTAAAAAGGTCAGTCGCGGAAAAATCGTGTAAACTTACGATTCTTTGAAAAGTAACTTAAAGTCATATCAACTTTAAATCGGACAACAGCCACGGCGCCGATATCTCTCCCCCATAACATCGATAATTTTCGGCAAAACAAGTTGTCGTTTGGATCCGCTACATCTTTGCCTTTTAAAGTTTGCTCCACTTATTTTAAAACACGCCTTAAAATTTCAAACAGAGATCCACGGCTCCAAACGTTCTTCTGAAATAAAATGGCGCGTGTGATTTTCGTGATTTCTATAACCGAACCATTGGATACTAGAAATTACGTCGGTTAAAAATTCTACAAGCGGTCGTGAACTTATTAACTCAGTATGGCCTAAAAACATAGAAGTCCACTGTTCAAATCAACACCTCTTGGAAAAATTGTAATCAGAGATACTGATCAACGACAATTGTAAGTAAATTTTAAGTAATAAAATTATTGTACGTACACATCGAACTCCTTGAACCTTATTGAATTCTAACGAGTTCTTTCTAGAACCTACTCGACACAAGATTTCAACCCTTATTTTCAGGAAGGAATAAGATTACCATAAGGTTTAACAGGGAAAAACTACAGGCAATTAAATCGGGAATGAATCCATGAGCAACACTCCGATTCAAACTCTTCTTTATTTCAGTTAATTCGGTGGCGTAGACAATTAAAATAACGTGGTTTCTCGGCCACTAGTCGCGAACAAAACACCCTACAATGAACAAAAAACAAAAAAGGGGGGAGGGGCAACTTTTTCTTATGTTCTTAATTAAAATGGAAATTAATATTTATCTTCAATTGGAATAAATGGACTTACAATGACCTACATTGGACCTTCAATTGCGCAGAATGAAAAAAAACTTAATTTTCAATTATGTTGTGGTAACTAAATGGGGCTGTGCGCTGTCACTCTAATCCAAAGCCAGGCAATCTGGGCTCATCGGGCTCCGGAGGTTCAGTAATGAAAGCTGCGAGAGAGGTCTTATCCACTTAACAAAGCTACCCATTCTGATTCAATTTTTCTCCCTTCTTGAGCCCTGGTTCGACCGATACCGAGAGATGACGAGCATACGGTCGAGCTGGAATTTTCAAATTTCCATCAATTAGAAATGTGAATATAATTTCTTCATGCGAAATATGGGCCGCAATATGGCGAAAACAAACTTTTCAATGCCCCCATGATGAGGAATCACCCTTAACAATTATTCTGCATTGAGATGATATTTTTGTTACAGTTCAACAAACAGAATAGATCAATTGTTCAAAATTCTTAGGTGAAGTGATAACTTTACCGAGTAGAGTTGACGTAATAATTTGAAAAAAAATCATGGATAATTAGTCGTATAAGTAGTAGTCGCAATAGTCGTTGCTGACAAAATTAATATACCTCTGATAAGAATTTTAAATGCGGACGCTGAGAACAGGGCTGACAAAGCCTGAGCAGCTACAACTTCACTGAGGTTGACTCTAATGCAATCGTGTGAGGGCTGTTATAGTTTATTGTAGTATCACGTATTCCCATGGAAATTATTGGAAGCTGTAAAATTGCGGAGAAAAGCTCCATTGATAAATAATTGATGGATGATTGGTCTTATTCATTATATTACTTTGAAAAGAATTGATATACTTTGCAAAAATAAATGAAATCTTGTAAAAAGATCACAAAAAACTTTTGAAATATTTTTGCTAGGTGTGTTGTGGATGCCGCAGTTAGTACGGTTAAAATTGTTTCATATCTGGAAAACTCGGTGTAACGACAAAAAAATAGGGGGCTTGGGAAAACCCCACACAATAGCAAGGAATGTCGGTATGTCCAACCTAAATGCAGATTATGCGAAGTGAGCACAATAAAGGGACCACATAGCAGGTATTCAGGTGGCCGTCATTATGTCGATATCGATAAAAAAAGCAGGCCAAGAGGGGGGTACATCTACTCCGAGTGCCTCCCCCCATTGGTTACAGCAGGTGGACCGAGACCACGACGTCACCTGCACAACATATTCATCGAAAGTTTTGAGATAGCTTCCAAAAATTGGCACAATTCACCAGATGATTTCTTGTTGTTCAAACAAGGGGATCTCTAGCCCCAAAGGGTCCACTCCATTTGAGACGCAAGCCTTCTACTGAACAATAGTTATCCATCGTCAAAGGAGGTGTCAAATTTATGGCCGATGAACGTCAGAAAAATACGTAAACATGCCACTTTTGACAGTACAAGAACATCAATTAGAGATAGGCCAGTGCGCATTCGTCCCGCCTCTTTCTCAAAAACTTCTCCAGCACCTGGGGAAATGGGGGGTAACATCAGGGTGAGGGTCCAGAAATATCCCTTGTGAATACATTGTTAAACATATGAAGATGCCTCCCACCATACCTCAAAGAACGTTGGATGACGAAATCTCAAAATGCCAATGGCTGTAGAGGAATCACGCCCGAACAGTATATAAAAGGCGGTTTTTCCCCAAGTAAAGTCAGTCTAAATTAAATCTTCGACAGCAAATCTTCAAGTGGTACACTGCTCGTCATCCAGTTCAACTCTCCAGGCCCAGTCTTCAGGGGAGCAATTCTGTAGGACCACCCTCTGACGTCACCACTGGGCGTAGTCCGAGCGTACAACTCGACTCTCCTTGCAACCCCCGATCGAGTGCGCAACTTTAATCACTACCAACAAGTCCGAAGTAAAATTTCGACTCTTGGTTATTAACGAGGGGCCCTGCTCATTATTAAAGCTGACCCTTCGAGATCCGTCTGTTGGGAAGCAGCTCCGCAGCATCGTCCACTCTCATCGCTACTAGATCGAGTGGACAACTCGATTTTCTTCACTACGTTAGATCGACGGGTTTACTTCAAGGGAGGCAAGCCAGCCGGTCTCGTTACAAATTCTTGATTTTCGACGAGGGCCCCTGCTCATTATTTTTTCGGCTGTCCCCTCGAAAAGTGAAATTACAATCTTAATGTTAAAAAAAAAGAGTCTAAATATGGTTTCGAAAGCAACAAAATCCCCTCGAGATGATGGCAATGATGACTTCGAGGATGTGTCCGATGAAATTTTCGAAGAAGCAAATAAATACGTGAAAGATATATTACCTGAAAAATCCATGGAGCAATATTTAATCTCTTAAGACCACTTTCGTCACTGGCAATCTCGGTGGAAAGAAAGAGAAGGGTTCAAAGAGCCTGTGATACTAACCTACATGGGAGATCAGAGTAAACGACTGGCACCGTCTACTCTATGGAACTTGTATTCCAAACTCAAATCATGTTTGACGATTTATCATAATGCGGACATCAGTGAATATCATCTACTGCAAGCGTATCTAAAAAAAAATGCTGTTGGGCATGTCCCTAAGAAATCCAAAATCTTGACAGCACCTGAGGTGGCCAGTTTTTTCAATTCCTCATGTCGTTTCTCTGGGAATGAAGGTGAAAAATTTTTTTTGGAAAAAAAAATGGTCATTTTCAATTCTGAAAAAATCCAACAGTAAACCCATTACTTTTTCTGGAATAAACTTTTGGATTTTTATTGGATTGTACTTCAAACCAACGTTTAGATTTTCTTTTCTTTCTCATACATATCTTATTTATATGGATAGAAATCAATATTTTTAGGCTATTTTGGCTGGCGGAATTTCGGGTTGCCTCCGAAGGGATGAATTAGTCAGTATCACAACAGATATGGTGAAGGACACTAGTGAGGAGCTCATCATCAATATTCCCACCACCAAAACTCATGTGGCCAAGAAATTCTGTGTGGATGGTGAATTTTACAATAGAACCAAACAATACATTGCTTCACGATCTCAATTTCCTGACAGCAGACGATTTTTCCTGCGCTACGAAAAAGGAAAATGTGTGAATCAAGTTGTTGGTCTTCACAAATTTGGAGAAGTACCACAACTGATCGCAAAATTTTTGAATTTGCCCGAACCGGAGATATACACTGGTCATATGTTTCGTCGCACATTGGGAACATTGTTGGCTGACGCTGGAGGCACGATCACAGAAATTAAAAGACATGGAAACTGGCGTTCTGTTAGCGTTGCTGAGGGTTATGTCGAAAATTCTTTGTATGCTAAGTATCAAGTAAGTTCAAAAATCAGAGGACTCATCAGACGCTCCGGCAACATCGGCACAAGCACAATTACAAGCACCTCAGCGACGTGTACGTTTGAAAATCCCTCGTCATCTCCTAAAAAACATTTAATTTTCCTAATCCACGAAATTTTACCGAAATTCCCCCGAATTCTTCAACGGCGACCTCATTATCTCCATCTCCACCAAAAAAATCGAAGAAAAATGAAACATCCATCTCGTCATCCAACAAAGAAAACATTTGGTTTTCGAATGAGCAGAGTTCCTCCAGATTTCTTCAAAATTCAGCAACAATGACCTCAGCACCTTCAATCAATTAAGCTCCACCGGAAGATCAAGCAACGCACCCAGCGAACAACAAAAATGGAGGAGAAACAACTCCAAAGGAATGCTCGAATTTTCAAAATGTACTGAGAAGACCTAATGCTTCTTTCACCATTAATAATTATGGCAATATTTCCATTTACACGAATGACGAACCAAAAAAACAGAATATTACGTTACAAAATTTTATTCTAAGTTTATCGTGATATTAAGAAATCACAATTATTAAGTTGTTAATTACTTTAAAAGATAATTTATGAATCAAAAAAAGACTTAAGATTTGGATTTACGCGTTACTAATGTTAAAAGTGTTGAATTTTATAAAATAAAAAATTGAAAAATTGATTGTCCCGTATTTATATTTCATTTTACTTTCATTTGTTTAAATCTTATTTCGAACTACACTCTTAATCTTTTCATTCCTCGAAATCCTGTTTTTCCTACTCAAAGTCGATTTATCCCAATTCAAGTCTTAACAATTCAGGAACTTTTCTTGGAGGGAGCCGAACAAATTGTATGTGCTACACGGCCGCCAATGGCTGTATCGTCAAAGGAGGGACGTTCGGCGGACGAGGAAGAGGCCTTCGGCGAAGGGTCCTTGCTACGTGGTCCTTGCTAACTTGACGCGAAGATTCTCCGAGTTGTACACTCAGGATGAGTGCAGTTGTACGCTGAGCGATTTACCAGGTCGGTGCTGGCTTGCAGAAATGCGGACGATCTGACGCAATGCAGAAAATCGAGTTGTCGACTCTAGCTTGTAGCGATGAGAAAGGGCAAGGCTGCAGAGCTGCTTTCCAACAAACAGATCTCGAAGGATGAGGTTATAGTATATTGTGTTACAAGGCCGCCAACGGCTGTATTGTCAAAGGAGGGACGTTCGGCGGACGAGGAAGAGCCCCGCCTTCGCCGAAGTGTACAACTCGGAGAATCTTCGCGTCAAGTTAGCAAGGCCCTGGTCAATCTCTCAGCGGACAACTGAGTTCATCCCGAGCGTCCAGCCGAGGATATTTTTTCAAGCCATCACCGACCTGGTAAATTACTTAGCGTTCAACTAAGTTTACCCCGAGTGTGCCGCTCCGGGATCTCTCTAACGAACAATCTCTCTGTGAACAAGGATACAATGTATCTGTTAAGACTGGCAACAAAGGCCGGGCTGGACATATGATCCGCGCATAAAAAAAGCGGAGCTATAGTAACTCTAATCTGAGTTTGGTGGCATTGGCTAGTCCGACCATCCGCGTACCCAAACCTAATCTAATGTAATCTACATATGCAAATAATTTTGCAGTATTGATTGTCGGGGAAATCGGTTAATTCAAGTTCTTCATCCCGTGACGATAACGTGAAATCTGAAGTTAATATTTTGAATTATTTTGAGTTTTTGAATTTTGATTTTGTAATTTTGACGTTCAGTCCGTTGAGGGAAAATAAATTTAGGTCTATTCTTTAGAGTAGTGGCGTACGTCACAATACAAAAGAAATGTGATTGGATTTCGCAATGGTCGGAGATGAAGCAACATCATTCTCATTACCAATTACGCGAATTTTTTTATTGTAATATTTGGGTATTCTGAACCTAATATTAAACCCGAAAACCTCTGGTTATATTGTTACGTCCTGGATAGTGGTTAAGACGCGTATATATAGTGCTACTTTCTCAGACGCAACCGGTCTGAGGGATTTGCCTTCTTTAATTTTCGCCGTTTATGGAAACACTAGACTGACCTTATTTATTCCTTGTTCAGGAAAAGGAGCTTTTGCCGTAACCCAGCGACGAATTTCCGAGTGCCTGGAGTGAGTTTCAACAGGTGTGCTCGAGGAGCAAGAGCTGGAGGAGGTTGATGGTTGGGTACGAATTCCTCAGTAAAATATCCCTGGTTTGATGGAGCTGGATCGGGTAGTGATTCCAATGGACCTGCAGGTGGTAGAGGTGGATAGATGTGGAAATTTCCTTGAGGATCCTTAAACACGGTCAGACGTACTGATTCAGTATGGCTGATCACAGGACTAGTCGACGAGGTCCCAAACACGGCGTCTAAGTCCACTTCCTGAGGGTTTCTGTAGATAGCAGCTAGTTTCCGGAGTTGATATTTTCTCCCGGCACGACGAGTTCTCGGCATTGGTTCAGTCCAATGGATCAGAGCTGAGTAGAATTTATCAACTGAGCAATCTTCTGCTCCAATGATATTTTTTTCAGGAAGGAGGAGTATCGAGCAATCGTCTGCTCCAACACTGAGGATATGGGGATCCGACCGAGCAATTTTCTTCTCCGTTCGGGTGGTTAGGAGGTATGATAATGAGCAATCGTCTGCTCCAAATCAAGAAAAGAGTGTGTACTCCAAAAGGTTAGTGTAGACTGAACATTTTTATTCTCAATTTCAGCGTTTTTATACATTTAGTTTTTCCGCTTGCAGTGACAGCTCGAAGTTCTTCATCCGGTTGGCTGCCTTGTAGCCTCAGCAGTTGGAGCAGATGTAAGTTTCGACTGGTTCTTCGTGAACTTTTTTCGATTAAGTATCTTATATAATTAAAGATTAAGTATTTGTCAACACTTTTATGTAGGTTATTTAATAAATGAGAAATGGAGTGCCGTGAGACTTTGCGATGTCTTATTTTTCCGTCATATGATTTATAATATAGCTTAATACAAATGAATTTTGAATGTTTCCCTTGTTTACGTTAGTGGTAGGGTTGTTTATTTACCAAAATAGGCGTAAAAGTTTATTAATTTAGTGTTTTTTTTTATTTGTTTATATTTTAGTGCATGACTGATGGATAACTTGGGCAACTGTGGCAATTGGTAATGGTGAATATGGCCGTCGATAATGGTCAGTGTGGCTAATGGTAAGTGTCTCGACCTAATTTATTATTGTGTTAACAATCGTTAACAGAGGCTTTATTATTTTATAAATTATATGATAACTCGTGTTTTACAGAGTTCTTATTTGATTATCCGTATCTTAACCTATTATGTTAATAATCGTATTATATTATAATAATCAGTTTAATGTATTATTCTATTAACAATATTATCTATGTCAGTATTTTAACCTAACCTACCCAGTATTTTATGTAATTCTAACCTAATGTTTTATTTAGTTCTTGGCTGTTGAAGAGAGGGAAGGACGTCACAGCAGGGGGGTTGTGTAGAGATGCAGAGGTTAAGGTTGGCTCTGCGTCTTCTGGAGCTTTTTTAATAGTGCGTAGTCCACTCTCTCGAGTCGGATGCTTTTGCCTCTGGTGACTTTTGGTGAAGTGGGCTCTGATGGAGTTGACGGCGCCAGCATTTCAATGTAAGTGGGTTGTTGTACCTGTTCGCTCTTGTTGCTATTCCTGCTATTGTTGAGGTGGAGTAGCAGGGAGGTGAGTGAGCTAAAAATGGCTCCTATTAATTTTAAACTCCATCCATATATTCTGTGTAGTGCGTATCCGTTGATAGTCTCTATTATTACCTTAATGAATTTTAGGCAGATTACGATTGTTAGTGTGCCTGCACTGACGGACCCGAAGGAGACAAGGTGTTTCCATGCAGTTGCGAGGGTATGCTGGACCATGTGCTGTAATGTTGGCGCATCTAGTACGGTTTTAAAGTCCAGTTGGGGACTGGGTACTGTATTCCCTGCTGCCAAGTGAGTGAAGTTGTCTAAGATCTCAGTTTTTTCCACGGTAGACATAATTCTGTCTTTTAATTTTTTTAATTCTTCAGAGTTGTAAATCCCTGCTGTGTTGAGATGTTCTGCTGTCCTGTATTCCCAGGTTGGGTTGGAATCTGGTTTCAGGATTTGTGGTTGGGGTGCCAGTGTGAGTGTAGGGTTTAACAAATTCCAGTCTATCTTGTAGCCCACTGGCAGGAGGGGATTGCAGTAGAATGAGGTACTGTGTTTCATGAGAAATTTGGAATTTATGGTAAGGAAGTATGTTTGATTTTTGTACAGGACAGGGGCTTCTTTATAACACTCTAATTCTGGTCTGTTGGCGAGTGTAACTTGGTCTGCTGTGCATTTCACCAGGATTAATTCTCCGGCTATTGTGGCGTGATACCCTGGTCCTTTCATCAATCGGTATGCAAATTCGCCGGGGGCGACCGTAGCTAAGCTAAGGGTGTGCTGTAGGACCTGTCTCTCTAGGTCGCAGCGATGTTGTAACGTATTTCTATACAACTCTTACATTCGCTGTCTAATGTGTTTTTCTACATATACGAATTTTGAATTTACCCATTCCTTCTGTTTGCTTAATGGTGTATGCACAAGTGTGACTTTGTTTAACAATGTTGAGGGTGAAAGTAACTTCAGGGGTGGTTACTGAGTAAATTTCGGGCGAGTAATTAGTTTGTAAAAACTTGGTAGCCATTCCCGAAAAAATGGAAGCATATTGTTTGAATTCGCAAGTGTCCGTGGGTAGAGTAATCCAGAAGGTGAAAAATCCATTCTCATCACAGGATTCCTGTCGGAAGTCGCAGTGTGTTGAGCGGAGTTGTATTTTATTGGTTTTAAGATCCACTGGTCCGTCGTATTGTAGGTAACTGACACGTACTAGAGCTTCTACCACCACGTTGGGCCAACTTCCATCTTGATCGTTATAATCAACCCCCTTGCACGTTCCATCGACAGTCAATGATCCAGCAAGTTTTATAGAACGGTGATTAGTTACATTAGGTCTTAAATTACTAATGCTTACATCGTGATTTATATTTATGCTGTTGGTCTCTAGGAGACGTTTACATGTAAATTCGTCAATTCCGTTCAGATATTCTCTCCTGCCATTCTGGACGATCGATGTATGGCTGTGCATGCCACAGTAATGTATGGTCCTGTCTATTTCAATTTTGCACTGGAAGACTCTGTTGTATTTGTGCTTTATGAGCTGAACCAATTGGATTTTAGTGTTAACGTGTTCGGTTCTTTCGACTGAATATTACATTCCCCAACATCAGTTAAAGAAAACGTGGAGATGTTGAGGGTGGGTCCACCACAGTCATACCCGATCAATCCAGTTACGCTAGTAGTAGTAGAAGTAATCCATTTATCTGGAATTAGTTTCCTTTACTTATTTATTGATTTATGTGATAGGATGGTTTGTAATGTCTAATTTTATTGTAATGAACTACTCTTCGTTTACCCTTATAGTTAAGTACTACGTTGGCATTTTCCAGAACTTCCAAAATGATGTGGGGACCAGTGTATTGATCTGCGAAGTTACTAATTTTAGTATGTGGTAAATTGAGGAGGAGCACCTTGTCACCTTTTTTGAAGTGTAACGCGATTTTCGCGTTAATGAAAATATTTGCTGGGATAAATCACGTTCGCTGCCGCATCGATTGGGTCCGCTAATTCCCTACGCGTGGGGAGTTGAGGTTATAGTACTGAACCTCAGCTCCCAATGAGACTCCTCTGTCGGAACACTTGGTTCTCCACTCCAGAGAACTGTTCCACGTTGGACGGGGCGGGCATTCAAATGGCCAGGGGTCCAGATAAGAGGTTAACTGGACAGCCTGGTTGGGGACATTTGAATTCGGCGCGCTCCAGATAACGTTACCGGCAGGGATATCCTCGTGGTGGTGATAAGAACCACGGACGATCCCCCACGCACTCCAGCCGCTTGAGTCGGGAGTGGGGAGCAGAGCTACTAGGGAGCACTCTCCACTCCACACGGCAGAGTTGCTCCTGCACTTTCACGGGTCACTCGGCCCCGGGCTCTGACAGCCCGTAGCTCTCGATGATTAGTGTGGCTATATAGCACGCCATATCGCTTTACCTATCGCTATCTCTCTTACAGCCATGAGGCTGAGCTAACGGAATATAGTAGAAGGTATACCTATATCTAGAGCTCTTGCCATGCTAGCGCATATCGGCAGCTATCGGCGTTCTACCGCTATCTAATTACCGATCGCTCTCGCCTCTATCGACCTGACCTGCTATCGATCACCCTACCTTACCAACCTTCCGACGCTATCGGGGACCGACCACACTAAAAGAACTCCGACCCTCTCTCCATAACCTAGCATACTGAGCGATCCAGTGCTCCCGCACGCGTTCTAACTTTACATCCGCCACTTTGGTATTTCGCGGGAAGTATCCAGAGGTCCTCACTGCGCCCTGGGAAAGGGACAGTGACGATCTCTGGTCACGCACCTCATTTTAACTTGTTGGTCTTTCCTAATTGTGTCCTTAACCACTAGGCGGCTCAAATGTTATTTCCTAATTGTATCCTTAACAACTAGGCGGCTCTCTGGTTTGCTATTTTACCCACTTAAAATAGCTGGCGCCCTCCTGGAAAATTCGCGGATGCTACCGAACCGGCGAAGGTAACCCCGGATTTTCCGGATTCCCCGGACTTACGGAACACTCCGGGGAACACATCGTTACAGAAGTTCTGGGGGTTTATTTTTCTATCATAGTAGCGTTTGGATCTATTTTTCGCTCGAATTAAATTAGCTACTGCTCTTTGGGTGCATTTTCTGTTTTTATGATATAATTCCTGTAAGTAATTTTCGTTAGTTTGATCGCTGAAATCTCTCGGAGGATCATTTGAAGGCATTCTGGCTAACCGTCGAAATACTAATTGATAGGGTGTGTATCCCGTGCTTTCATGAACACTGGTGTTATAGGAGAATGTAGCTAAATCGCACAACTCGTCCCATTCCGTCTGGGTGTCCATGTATTGCTTCAGGTATTCAGTTAATACATGATGAGAACGTTCTATTGACCAGTTAGATTGTGGGTGGTATGCTGTGGAACCACATGTCTGAATTCCGTATTTCTTTGCTACTTTTCCCATTAGCTGGGAAATTAATTGGGTTCGTTGGGCTGAAAGTAATGCTTTGGGGGCCCCGAAAGTGCAGATGAACCTATGAATAAATCCTTTAGCCACTTCTCCGGAACCTCCGTTAGCTATAGGGATAGCTAATCAATATTTAGTTAATAGGTCTTGTATAGTAAGGACGTATCGATTACCCTTTGTTGTTATGGGAAAGGGGCCTACTAGGTCCATACTAATTTATTCTAACGCGTTTCTTGGTGTATCTGTTATCATGTTACCATGGGCTGGTGTGTTTTGACTCTAACAAGTTTTCTCAGTTGGCAATTCCGGCATCCTTGTATAAATTTAGCGGTGTCATTTTTCATTCCCTTCCAAAAATAGTTTTGTCTCAGTCGGTGGTAAGTTTTAGTTACTTCTTTGTGACCATTTACGCCACTGGAGTGGTTTGCTTTGATTAAAGTTGAATATTCAAATGGTTCTGGGATTCTTACTTTACATGAACAAAATGTAATTTTAATGTTTAGAGCAGAGAATGCTCTAATAACTAAATCTTGTATTTGGGACCAATTAATATCGTCTATTCTTTTAGTTATTCCTATGGAGAATGAGACGGTGTTCGTGTCTACCACTACGTTATACAAAGAGGCGATGACTTCCTCTAGATGGGCAATTTCCAAGGGGTATCTTTTCCTCATTTTTATAGGTAGGAGAAAGCATTGTTTTTTTATTATATTCCACTACTTTAGTTCTTAGCCATGTTATTGTAACTATAGGGAGGTCTATGAGATCATGTAAGTCTTCTGCTCCCTTGTCACATGGTTCTCCCTGTAGGGATGTCATGATGACTACGTTATCCTTCATCATTCTCAATGAATCTCTGCATTTTAGGACATTTGTAGTTATGATCTGGGAGTTTAGAGGAGGTTTAGCCCTTGGATCTGCCTCGGTGTCGTCCGAAGTAACTTCGTCATTGTCATCAGCAGCGTCGTGTAGGTCGTCCGTATCATTGTCATGAGGAAGAGGTGTACCTACGAAACGTTGAGTGCTTGTTGGTCCCGATCTTCTGGGTCGTTACCTTTCGAGGTAACGGGAGAAAGTGGGCAACTGTTGTCCACAATTATTGGATCCTGGCTAGTGCTAGGATCTGTATTGTCATTTGATTGGGTTTTTCTCTTTTTAAAAATTTTTGGGGGGGTGTAATGAGTTTCGGGGGACTGACTGTCACTTTGTTCACTTCTAGGTCTTTTGGATTCTACGGGAGTTCGTTCGAGGAAGGAAGGTCCTGGGAGTAGCACCACCTCCACTGAGGACTGGCTATCGTCTGATTTAGCGTCTGTCCCATTATCGTTAATGTGCATGCAGTAGATGTGAGTTACGCTGGGTTGATTGAACTCTAGAGCGTCGGGGATATTCCGAGAGAGAGCGTCTGCGTTACAGTTTAGTTTTCCAGGTTTGTAAACTATCGTGTAGTCAAAGTCCTCCATATCTAGTCTCCATCTCACGATTCTGGAATTTGGAGAATCGACGTTCTGCACCCAAGTTAGGGGCCTATGAGCTGTGACTAACTGGAATTCTCGGCCATAGACATATGGACGAAAATAATTGACCGCATAAAAAATGGCTAACATCTCCTTTTCTATAGTGGAGTAATTCCTTTCTGCTTTCGTTAATAATTTTGAACAGGAAGAGATGGGAAGGTCTTTTCCAATCTCTCCCTGACACAGAATTCCCCCAATTCCATACTCGCTGGCGTCTGTGGTAATTATGAACGCCTTAGTGAAATCGGGATATTGTAGAATGGGGGCAGAGCATAAGTCCTTTTTAATGTATTGAAAGCGTTTTCTTGTGGTTCTCCCCACACAAACCTGATATCTTTCTGTCACAAATGCGTTAAAGGTTTAGTGATGTTGGCAAAATTGGAGATGAAACGCCTGTAATATCCGGCTAGTCCTAGGAACTGACGGATTTTCTTGACGTTTCGTGGCTGAGGAAACTCGTCAACTGCTTTTACTTTGTCTGGTTTAGCTGTCGAGATAATATGCCCTAGATATTCTATTTC